AGCCCCCTCCGCAGCTTCTCGGGAACTCAGGCCTGATGCGGGCTTATCTGCTTCCCCAGCACTTGCCCAGGGACCGAGCTGAGGGTTCCCCAGGCAGTTGCAGGTCTGATTATGGGATGGATTCTGGCCGCCACAGCCCAGCAGCTTTTTCCTCTGCAGCTGGTACCACCTGACGGTCCCACCATACTCCAGTCCCGGCCCCTTCCCCATACGACGACGAAGCCGTTTGCCCCGTTCTGAGCTCCACACTCTTCCCCCACCCCCACCCCCGCCGCCTGCTAGCAGCCCCCCTACTGCCCTTGCAGCAGCCAGTCACATCCATCGGCCATTCTTTCCTGGTCGTGGGCCTTGTGCTGGCCTCAGATGCGAATCAGACACCACCCTCCCCTCCCCCAAGGGAAGGGAAACAGCCACGGAACAGCCACGTCCACTAGAAGGTTCCACGGCACGGGCAGCAAGTGGCTGAGAGCTTAAAAGGAAGAAGGGTCTGGAAAAAATCCCAGAGGGCTTCCTGGAAGGAGTGGCATTTATCCTGGGCCTTAAGATTCCAAGTGTTCATTCTGTACCAGCACAGCGGCACAGGCAGAAAAAGGAATATGGCTACAGCCAGAGAGGAGGCGAGAGAAAGGGTAGGGAGGGAGAGCAGAGCTGTGGTGGGCTCTCTGCTCACACGGCGGGCTCAGGAGGCACAGGCGGCCGGCAGCTGGCCCGGGAAACATGCTGGCTTGAGATGCCGGCTTGGGACACCTGCGTCCCATGTCCCAGGACCTGGGTTCAGGCTGAAGACTCCGTCCCTGAGGCAGCCCTCGCCTTAGGGATTTGCGACAAGGTACAGAGCGAGGGTGCAAGGTCCTCCCTGAGGCCAGGAGAACCCAGCCGCAGCCTCTAACAGGGCCTTCGGAGAGTCCCAGCAGTCCTGCCCCAGTTAGAGACCCCTCTGGCTTCTGATGAACAGGACACGGCTGTCTGCTCCTCTGGATGCGCGGTTAAGATCTCTCTTTAAGACCCCACCAGGGGCTGGCGCTGTGGCGTAGTGGGTAAAGCTGCAGCCTGCAGTCCAGCATCCCATATGGGCGCTGGTTCAAGTCCCGGCTGCTCCACTTCTGATCCAGCTCTCTGCTGCGGCCTGGGAAAGCAGTGGAAGATGGCCCAAGTCCTGGGGCCCCTGTACCTGCATGGGAGACCTGGAAGAAGCTCCTGGCTCCTGGCTTTGGCCTGGTCCAGCTCCAGCCATTGCAGCCATTTGGAGAGTGAACCAATGGCAGAAAATCTCTCTCTCTCTCTCTCTCTCTCTCTCTCTCTTCCTAAGATGTATTTATTAGAGAGAGAGAGCGGACCACTATGAAAGTCTTTCCTTCCCACCCCCACTTTTGCCCCTGGCCCCCCATCCTCGCCAGACAACTCTCACTTGCTGGGAGCTGTGTTGCTCTCCTGCTCAAGAATCTTCGAGGGCTCCCTGGGCCCTTCAGGAATCAGCCCCATCACACCAGCTTGCATCCAAGGCCACCCCTCGTCTTTTCCTAGCCTCCCTGCTGGACTCAGCTGCCACTCACTTCCTCCCCACACTTCCGCTCCCATCAGAAGCTGTCGCTGGGACGCACCTGCGCCTTCCTGTCTCTGCCAGATCCTCCTGATAGGCAAGACTCTGGTACAGTGCTATACAGGGTCTCACCCCGGTACACCCAATGCACCGTGACCCCTGCCAGCCAGGAGCCCCTCCACACTTGACCTTGACACGACTCCTGTGTGCGGCAGAGGTGACTATCGGGGAACAGCCTGACTCAACGAGGAGCATTCAGCCTTCGGTCCAGAAGGCTGGAGGCGAGAACATTCCATGACAGGTGCACAGATCGTTCCATGACAGGTGCATTGCTCTGAGAACGCCTCGCTCTGGGGGGTTTGGTGAAGGAAGCTGGGGAGGTGTGAACAAATCCAAGAAGGCGGGGCAAGGGTCTTAGCAGGAACACGGGGATTAGTGGTCCTCGACTGGGGAGCTAGAAGCTTCTGGAAGCTGTTAGAAGCTTCTGGGTGTGGAAGGAGCACTGAACGGGGAGCTCTCAGCCTGGTTCTGCCCCGTGTCTTTGAGTTGGTGAGCTGACTCTTCAGCATCCAGCATATATGGGGTGGGGGAGGCTCCTTCAGTTGCCCCCTGGCTCTTGGTTACTTCCTCACTAAAGTGGGGGTCTTGGCCTCAAGGTCACAAAATCAGAGCTGCCCCCAAACTAAACCCCTGGGTGCCCTCAGCCCGGATTCCACGGCGCCAGGGGGACGCAGGCAGTGCAGAGACTGGCACAGTGATTTGAGAGTCAGTAAACTCTTCAGCAAA